CCGGCAAGAAAAGTGTTGCGTTCCTCAACTCTCCGCACCACTTTATAGCCACCCATATAAGCAGTGCATTTGCGTTGAAAGTCAACAAAAATCCCCGCAGAAGATATCCAGGTTTGCGTTATTTGTCGGCTTACGGCTTGGGCTTTCAAGTCGAGCGTCCGAAACCAATTATCCTAAGAGTGCTCGGAAGAAGCTTGGTGATCAATTCAATGCGACTCTTCTCCCTCATCCGCGAAAACCGGGGTGAGCTTCTAACGCTGAGCGTGGAAGTTATTGTTCATGTCTGCAACCACCTTCATGTCCAAAGTTGTGACGAAGAGAAGAGCGCTCGCTAGTTATGCGCACTGCAAAAAGAAATAAAGAGTTAGTCAACTCAAAATCAAAAGCTCGAGACGCGAAGTCGACAACCCGCGTGTCAAACAAGCTTTCAGACGCGAAGGGTCGGAACCCCGCCCGTCAAACAGCTCAGACGCGAAGGTCGAACCCCGCGTCAAACAATCCCAGACGCGAGGTCGCAACCCCGCTTGTTCAGACAATCTCAGACGCGAAGGTCGAGCCTCGCCGCTCATGAAAATGTTCAGACGCGTGGTCGACCCTTCGCCCCGTCAAAAATCTAAGACGCGGAGGCGTTTAAACCCTCCGTCAAGAGATTAAAACGAACGGAGTCCAGCCCCGCGATTTTATGGAACGAGTTTTCCTCCTGTTAATTTCAAGATCAGAACTTGCGCGCGAGCAAGTTTAATGACCACGAAGGTCGTACTCGACCACCGAATCAAAGGAAGCCTGCTGGGCGTCACATTCGCCTGAGCCAGCGGCGCGCTGGCCGGCTGGCTGATGATGCACGATCCCCGAGCCGCCCGAGCGGCATTCGGACTTGGACGACGGGCTTCTGGGGTGCCCATAAGATCTCGTCGGTAGGAGTACATGAAACAGCCGTTTCCGCCTGGAGATCGAGAACGAAACTTTATTTTCGTTAAATTTTCAAGAAGAGTCAAGATGACTCTTGATTTGACTCCCTATGCGTGTCTATTATAGACAGCTATGAGCTGTTCAAATCCTAACGGACGGGATTCTGAGCCAATCAGCCCGCCAAACTCGACCTCCTGCGTTCGAGTTGATTCAGCTTCCAAACGCGAATGCCTCACCTGCGCGTTCAAATTTCCCCAACGCACTGGGCCTCACCCACGCGTTCCAATTCTCAAATGCAGAAGGCATCCCTGTGTTGACGACCACCATGAACAACCAATTTCTTGGTTACCAAAGCGTATCAAAGCAGAAAAAACAAACGACTCCACTGGGGAGTTGTTGCCGAAGGAGTACAGATAGAGTACAGTCTTAACAACGAGCGAAATCATCTGCGACTCAATCAGGCGAGAAGGAGCCAATCAATCCGCAAATTCTGGCCGATCCAAAGTATTCCGGAAAATTCTCACCCAGTCAACGCCAAACTTCGAAAACTTTTGGAGGGGTTCTGTAGCGCTGCTCTAAAAATAAAGCAACAATAGAATGAGCTTATTTCAAACCAAGCTCCGACAACGGAGTCACAATCCAGACGACTTCCCAATCACTGCTTATCCGCAACTCCACAATTGCCACAAACGCGACCTCACCTCTAGATATGTGAATCTTTGACGGCTGTGACAACAGCCATGGCTAATTATCGTAGCAATTATTAGCAGATGCGAATGCAGCAGTGGGACGATTTCAGAAATAAAAGTGGACTCAAGTTCGGTTTTTTGGGGAAAAGTTTTTTTTTGCTTTCGCGTAGAGAGCTATAGGCGAATATTCAATCCTTTAAGACACTATGGAGTTGCATTCCCGTCTAGCTCCTACAACGAAAGCCTACAATTCAAATGCTTTCGGGTCGATTGATCGAAAACATATAGTCGAATAGTTGCTTGCGTAGAGAGCTAGGGGGCGAATACTTCATCTTTAAGACACTATGAGATGTGATTTCCCGTCTAGCTCCTTACAACGAAAAGCTTACAATCAAATAGCTTTCGGGTCGATGATTCGAAACATATAGTCGAATAGTGCTTGCCCTTGGTAAGATGAGTCTTGATGGGCGTAATATATCATCTTTAAGACACTATGGAATGTTGATTCCCGCTCTACGCTCCTACAAACAAAAGCTACAATCAAATATGGCTTTCAGGGTCTGTGATTGAAAGCTGCAAATAGAGGACTTTTCACATAGATCGAGCAAAAAGCGATTACAATTAACGACACTTCCGACAACTGATGAAAACTCTATGCAGCAGCTCTTCACAATCTACAGTGCAAAGTTACAATCTGGACGGCTTTCACACCCCACAAACAGCTAAAGCCAGGATTACTGTAACAACGGTCCTTGCCGCCAAACGCTCTACAGAAGAAGTTACAAATCAGCTAACTCCTTTCTGAAACTCGGGTTTTCACCCCGCCGTCATAACTTTGGAAATGAAGGCGCACCCTCGCGGCCCTGTCAAGCCACGGCGCACCCTCCGCGTCGTCAAAGCCCGGCCGCACCCTCGCTGTCGTCAAGCCACGGCGACCCTCGCGTCGTCAAGCCACGCGCGACCCTCCTGCGGTCAGTCAAGCCACGGCCGACCCCTTCGCGTCGTCAAGGCCACGTGCGACCTCGCTGTCGACAATGCCCACAGCCAATACAGTTGAGCGACCCCTCGCGTTCAATTGGTGTTCAGTTAAAAACCCAACTTCGCGTCTTAATTCAATAAGAACACGAAGTAGAGGTGCTGAACGCCAGAATGGGGCGTCTGACTTATTCAAAACATAAGTCGAACGGCTTCCAAAACCGTTTATACCCACGATTCTGCAGCGGATTTTTCGCCCACGTAGCGAGCGGATTATAGGGGTCAGCTTACAACCTCTTATTCCCCCTATAAAGCTCAAAACGAACATCAACCGAGTTATAAGGCCGTTGATTTTGGCAGCTCTCTGCAACCATGTACAGGCTTGGATTCAAAAGATCTAAACCATACAGGTTGCAGAGATTTTCAGTTCTAAAACAAACTCGACAGAGTTAAAGCGATCGGCCGATTTTGATAATCAGATCAAGGAGTTGGAGTTCTTCATCCAAAACCACTCAGGTTTGGAGATTCCGTCAAACAAAGCAAGCGAAATCCTTGGCGATAGGATTTTGAACCAACCTAGAAAATCACAATACTGATGAGAAATTCCTTCAACAACAGAAAAAACAGCTTGATTATTACCGCAAATTTTCAGTGATTCCAACGAACTCATTCTACAGAGTTCAAAACTCGTTCAGAGTTCTTAAACTCATTACAGAGTTATTCATTAAAAAACTATTCCACGAAAGTTCATCGTTCCACGAATAAAGCGGGTCGGATCTGTCAACGCGAGAGCAAGTTCGACGAACATATCAATCGAAAGGAAGCACTCCATCGCGCTGCCAAGAAAGAACCAGTTTAAACAAAGGGGAAACCAAATTCGTTTTCCTCTGCTTTTTAATCAAGTCTTA